CGGTTAGTAGGGATTTGATTGGGAATAGCTGTGGAGGCTGCCCTACAGCCCATATTTTTGACTAAAGTTCACACCAAGTCACCACCAGTCATGATCTACACATATTTTTCAAGCTCTTTTTTGACTTTGAAAATTTTTTAGGAAAATCAATTAGTTTTTTTCTTTTTTTTTCCTTAATTAGTTTTTTCCTCTCCTCTCGTTATGCTCTTTTTTGAACAGTTTGTAGTTATTTTTACATCTGAGCTTTTTTTTTTTCTTTTGTGCCATTTATAGTTACCACGTGAAAGAGGTTTATGTGAATGGTCTTAATTGCAAGATGTTTATGTGATAGGTAATTATACCACATGAAGTCGTATGCCTGGCCCGCCACGAATCAATTTTCTAAAAACATTGCTTTATGTAAACTGAACGAACGAAGTGTTTCATGGATTAATTCTTTTGAATATAAAATTTGAATTGGTCCTTTCAACAAAAAAAAAAAAATTGAATTGGTGACAAACAGTAAAAAACTATACTGTTGAATTTTCAGAAACTTTTACGCTGCACTGGAACAAAATTAATCATTCCAATTATGTACAAAAATAGCAAGGAAAACCCGGAAAAAAAAAACATTCTGCCATATGATCGGAATTGCTAATATTACTTTTTAGTTTTATGAGATGTTTCTTCATTTTGATTTTTTCCAAGGGACATTTTTGTCATTATTATTTTTCATAGTTAATGATTCTTTAAAAAAAATCAGAAATCAAATTTGAATATAATTGATTTTATTCTCCCAAATATTATGTGATGCACTATGTAAACCGCAATTAGTAGGATTCCATTTTTTTTTTTGATAAGAATGTAAAGATCATTAATATCAAGAGTTTATACAATAAGTTGAACAAAAATTAAAGAACATTTTCATGAACTAACATGGATTCATGCCAAAAAAATTAAAAAAAAAACATGGAAGCTTAATCATTCGACATTCATTTCATCAAGCAATTCACATTCTTATCAAATTATGGTAAGTAAGGACATTTGGTAAATGAGTGGCCGAACTATCATCATCGGGATTAAAATAGTAATACTGGACCTTACACTTTAAACAGTAAACTTTTTCTTTGTCAAAAAATAATAAAATTTATTAATTACATACAATTAGTTTTGGTATAACTCAAATACAACACAAATGATATTCCCTTTGTTTCACAAACAATATTGTTTAAATTTTTTAACATTGTTACACATTTTCAATAGAAGTTTTTGTAATAAATTTTTTTTTATCCTTATTATTTTAGTTTATTAATTGGAGAGAGAAATTGCTATGGTGTGCTATTAAAGGACATAAAAGAAATTTTTACATTTTTTTAATTTATATAAAAAATGGTAGAATTACACTTTTTTATAAAAGAAGATCAGTATCTAATTGATAATAAATACCAAACAGAAAAAAGTATTGAAAAATCAAGCTGGTGTATACAATTATTGGCTTTGAATAGAACGATGTGAGGTAAAGAGAGAGCGGTGCATGATCGATGTGGAAGTAGCGAAATAATACCAAACTTACATAAATTTTAATATTAGTTTGTTTGTTTCACATCAATTTATGGTCTTACCCTACTATTACTATTTTCATTTGAATCATTATGAACTGCATTCTCATCCATCGTAGTTGTGGTAGTCTAATAGTTTTTATTTAAAGAAGAATTATTTTTTAGGTCTAGGCTATAGATCGATTTTTCTTAAACCTAAAATTTACTGAATTATTTTATCTGGCAAATTGAAATTAGGATATTTGGGTCAGATTCGGATCGGGTTTTTCGGGTTCAGGTTTTTTGGGTTTAGAAAACTAAGACCCGTTCGGTTATTTTAAAACTTCGGGTTCGGATTCGGGTTTTTCCAAAGTATCTAACTATTAAAAAATGTGTATCCGATTCTATGCAAAGTATTGAAAAATACTCAAAAAATCTATAAAACCCAAATATTTTTTACGCGAATCTAGCCAAAAGTAGCTAAAACACCCGAAAATATCTTAACATCCGAATAATTTAGGCACATATGTTATTACAAGTATAAATATTACTACTATATTATAACTATGGACTTATATTTCGGGTATATTCGGGTACTTGTTCGGGTTCGGGTGTAGATCGGATTCGGGTTGTGAAGTTTAGAACCCGTTCGGGTAATTTTAAACTTCGGAGTCGGGTTCGGGTCGGATTTTTCAGGTCGGGTTCGGTTCAGTTCTTCGGGTTCGGGTATTATGCCTAGGCCTAATTGAAATTGTGTCATATTTTAGGTCCATTAAAAATTACGATGAATATACTATTTAGACGTTTACATTCATCATATACAAGTTAATCGGATGATAGAAAATCGGATCACCTCTTATAAAAATGAAAAAAACCAAATTTATTTTTGTAAAATATATTATTTTACTTCTGTAAGAATATGAATTTTATTTCTGTACAGTATATCCGAACATAACAGTTATCATTATCCCAACTAAATTATGTGTTATCTTGGGTCCAAACTTTTTTTCTTTCGGTAAATTACTATTTCTATTTCTGTATGTTGCCCCACCATAATAAAGCAAACTACTATTTCTATTTTCGTAAATGGTATACCTTGTGAAATCACGTGAACTCGTGTTCCCACCTGAAAGCTGTTTGATTTATAAGATTGATTGATTGTCTAAATGGGCCGACCCATTGGCTGTATTTGTTGGGTATATATATATATATATATATATTTTTTTTTTGGTAAAAGGTGAAATTTTATACCATTTTGAATTTGTGACAGAAGTTACAGAGAAAACTAGAAACGGATTAAAGCAAGCTACAGAAAATTAAAAAAACAACATTACTACTCAAAATGATTCGGATCGAAGCGGAGTGAACATGGCAAAGTCGCGAGAAGAAACACCGATTCCGAGATCGCGAAATCCGGAAATTTGCATGGTTGCCACAGAACCGAAGAACTGGAATCCTCATCGTTGTTGCCACGAGCCAATCTATCTGAGGCCCGTCCTCAAAACCTCATGATAGAAGCCTACAGCTTCTCCGAGAACTAACGCAAAAACGTAAAGACAACCACGGACTTCTACACTAGATCAACGAGCTAGCGACGCCACTTAGATCTATACGCCGCCTCTATTCAACACTCGGGAAACTTTGCCATAGCACACAGAAGCTCACCTGCACAAATTGAACCGACACCGACGACAACAACAACAACAAAAACTCCACCTAAAATATATATATAGATATCTGTTTTTCTTTAATTTATAAGTATTATTATTAGTTATTAATTTCATGGAATAATCAGATTTCTTGGGTTTCTTTTAATATCTGTTCTTTTTCGTTATATTTTTAATTTTTCGTTGTTGGCTAGTATATTTATATTTTTTTGTTCTTTTTTAACCAGCAAATACTTTGTTATAGAAACAATTTTTTTTTTTAACAAAGTTTTAAAAACAATTTTTATCTTTAAATATTAAAGCAAAAGAAATATTTAGTAGAGATTTATAATAATGATCCAGTAAATTACTATATCATTTAAAATACTCCCTCTGTGCTTTTATATTTGATATTTTAGGCGAAAATATTGTTTGAAATTTGATAATATTTTCAATTTTCAAGGCAAAATTAATTCTCTTTTATTGGTTTTGACGATTTATATTTCGCAGAGTGTTTTATGATTGGTTGAATCATGTTTAGGTAGATAATAAATGATGTTTTAATGTAGAAATAAACAAAAATTATATGATTTCTTAATCTGTGTGCAAAAATACAGTAAACATCAAATATTAAAAAATGAGGGAGTATATACTTATCTTTCGGTTAGTATTTTGGGAAAAAAACGTTTCATAGCAAATATTAAGCATGTAGATATTTTTTTTTGATAAACAAGGGTGATTCATGATTTTACCACTCGACTAATTCCTTTAATTAAGATGAGTGTAGCCAGTCGAATTGCCCATTAACGGAATTAAGAAAAAATAACTTTTATATTTTTTTATTATTATTTTCTTAGTTTAATAATATTAGTTTTACTTCTCTCCTTTCTCTATTGGTCACAAACAAAAATAATAATGATATTTTTATAGAACATCAAACTTGGTAGAACAAGTAAAAAACCCAAAACATCAAATAACTAGGAACAGAAGGAGTACCTTGTTTATCTTAGAGAAAAGCACATCCCACGACTTGATCTTGTTTGCTTTCTAGATGACGAACCGTCATCTCCTAAATTCAAAACTATTCGACACTCATGAAATGGAAAATATGACCCTCGTCCAGGAATATTATTTTTCATAGTTAAGAAAATGATTCAAAAACAATTGTCAAGGCTAAATATGTTTTAGTTGGTAAGAATATATGTTGAAATTTACTAATAGATAAAAATCGCGAATAACAGCTGAGTTTCGCTTGATGAAATCAAAGACTTTAAATGTTTCAAATTCCAATATGTATTAGGTTGATTGTAGCTATCTATCCGAACTTTATCAAAATAGGTTAAATTCAGATCAAAACCGTCGCAATTCAATAAAACGTGGTTGCCGGCTTATTAAACAAAAATCGACATTACAATTGGATATGTCGAATTATGTTGATTCTAATAGATAGATATGTTTAGTGGCGAGGGATAAATTTTTTGTGTTGTAAAACAAATAAGTAAAAGTTTAAGTGTAAATCGTGTGAACACATAAAATTCAGATGGATTACTACGGTCAAAATCATATTTATTTCTACTCTCTTGTTTTTATGATCTTCTAAAACACTTAAAGACGAGTTTAGCGGGAAACAAAAAAAAACACCTAAAAGACAGTCAAATAGTGACGCATTCTAATACTTATATATATTTTGTTTTCAGATCTGAAATCTCTCTCTCTCTGAGGCGATTTTAGAGTCGATTGTTTTCTAACCTATCACCACCTCCGGTTGGCCTCACGCCGCCGGTGAGAACTCTCTTCTTTTCCTTTCTTTCTCAACCTCAAAGTGACTGCCTTTTTCCGTTATTCAGCGCCGTTTGTTACGGCGTCATCTCCCAATTCTAGTTTCTTTCTCATGTCAGCCCCTCCTTATGGGTAAGAGGAAGCCGCCCAAGAAATCTCCTTCTTCGAATCAAAGCCGAGGAAGCCGATTCCCAGATCTATGCCGTGCTTTGTCCCTCACAGCTCTTCGAATTCTCTGACCGACTGCTCTGCTTTGGCAGATCTTGTTGTGTCCTCTGATTCTGTTTCAAAATCTTCTGCCTCGCCGAGGGGCATTGTCGACCAATGCCACTACAGTAATCTTGGAAGCCGCCTCAGATCAGGCTATAGCCGCTGCTACTGCTGCCTTGCCGAAAGTGGTCAACGTCCCTGTGAAAGTTGCTCTGTCAACTGAGCCAGGTAAGACCAACTCCGAGGCGTTTCAATCTGTAGCTGAATCACCAATTGTCAACTCTAAAAGCACTGAAGCCGCAGCAACTGTGAGCACATATGCAAACAAACCAGCACCAAACGCTGGTACCGATTCTTGGGTAAATCATGTGAAAGGTTCTTCCAAACCACTCAAGAAAAAAGGTGTAGCCTTTACTCTAGATTCTGGAGAAGCTTGTGTTAAAATCCCAAACTCCGTTATTGAAAGGAAAAATAAATCGTGGGAATGCTTTGTCTTAGGCCAATTCTACTTGGATACGCCGGCCCAAGGAACCATTCACAACATTGTCAACGGTATATGGAGTAAGAACTACAGAGATATCGCTGTGTCAAAAATGGAGGGGAATGCTTTCCTTTTTAGGATCCCAAATGCCTTCACTCGTAGTCGTGTGCTGAACCAGTGCCTTTGGCAGATCGAAGGGCAGACAATGTTCGTTACGAAATGGGACCCGTGTGTCATTCCGTCGAAGCCAGAGCTTACTTCAGCTCCAATCTGGTTGGAGCTTTGAAATGTACCGCTGCAACTATTCCATGAGGAAGGACAAGAGAGAATCGCGAGTCATGTTGGTGACCCAAAGTTTTTGCATCCCTCAACAGCAAATAAAACAAATTTGGAGGTTGCAAAAGTTTTCACCATCATCGATCCTCGTAAGTCGCTTCTTGAAGCTGTAAATGTCCAATTTGACTGTGGCACAATTCATCGGGTTTTGGTTTCCAGCCCGTGGATGCCAGCGGTCTGTGTGCATTGTAAGAAAATAGGCCACAACTTGAGATACTGCAAAGTTGCTCCAATAACCTGCAGCGAGTGCAATTCAACAACTTACTTGACTGCTCTTTGTCCCAAGTTAAAAAATGATGGTTCTAAGGCGAGAAGAAGCATCCGTAGGAGAAGGTCTAGATCTCCAGCTCTTCCTGCTGCAGCTGTCCAGAAGGCTACATTGGGTAATGAAAATGCTAATTGGGTCCCTGTAAAAGGTAAAGAGGCTGCTGGTTTGGTTTGGACAGTGAAGAGCTCTAATAAGTCTCAGTCTACAGGCTTTGAGGACAGTGTTTCAGGATCTGTTTCGGTTCAGTCTGAAGGGCTAACACTGGGGCTGAACAAGATAGAGCTAGGTGATTTAAGCTCTGGAAGGCTTGTCAGCAACAATGTAGCCGCAGGGAACAGAGAGGAGTCAGGTCAAGAAACATACCCAGATTTTGGGGTTGAATAAGACTCTTTTGATATTTTGTCTACTGACACGGAAGAGGAGGCTTTTACGATGGTACTGTCTAAGAGACAGCGTAGGAACCTTCGAGGCAAGGGCCTCAAATCCAAAGCTTAAGTATGTGTACTAAGCTCTTTTGTTGGAATGTTCGCTGTTTTAATATTTCCAGTCACCGACGCGGTTTCAAAAAATGGTTACATGTGAATAAACCACTTTTTGGAGGAATTATAGAGACGCATGTCAAGCAGCCTAAGGAGAAGAAGTTCATAAACGACCTAATGTCGGGCTGGTCTTTTGCTGAGAATTACGGATTCTCTGTTTTGGGAAAAAGTTGGGTGTTGTGGGATCCAAGTGTTCAAGTTGTTGTGGTTGCTAAGTCCCTGCAAATGATTACTTGCGAGGTCCTGCTCCCCGATTCTCCTTCTTGGTTGGTGGTCTCAATTGTTTACGCATCTACTGATGAGGGTACTAGGAAAAAGCTATGGAAGGAACTGGTTCAGCTTGCTCTTTCTCCGGTTGTTGATGGCAGGCCTTGGATTGCTCTTGGTGATTTTAACTATATTTTAAATCTTGAGGATCATTCGAATGTTGCAAATTTGAATGTAGGCAGAAGGATTCGTGAATTCAGAAATTGCTTGCTTGAGTCGGATTTGCATGATCTCGTCTACAAGGGAAGTTCATACACTTGGTGGAATAAGGGTAGCTCTAGACCAGTGGCGAAGAAAATTGATAGAGTTTTGGTGAATGATCAATGGAATTCTCTCTTCCCATCAGCTTTTCCAAAGTTTGGGGAGCCTGACTTCTCTGATCACACATCTTATGAAGTGGTGTTAGACGCATCGATACAGAAGGTAAAACGTCTCTTTCGGTTCTTCAATTACTTGCTTCACAACACTGATTTTATTCCGCTGATCAGGGAGCAGTGGTACTCTTGCAACATCTCTGGTTCTGCAATGTTTAGAGTCTCCAAAAAACTGAAGCAGCTGAAGCCCTACATTAGAAGTTTTAGCAGAGAAAATTACTCTGACTTGGAGAAAACGGTTGTTGAGGCCCATGCTCTTGTGCTTCATTGTCAGAGGATAACTTTAAATAATCCTTCTGTTATCCACGCATCCCTTGAGCTTGAGGCTACAAGGAAATGGCAAATTCTTGCCAAGGCTGGGGAGAATTTTTTCTGTCAGAAATCATGTATTTCTTAGTTTAATGAGGATGATAGTAATACTGCTTACTTTCATAAGGTGGCTAATATGAGAAAATCGATAAACACAATTCGTTTCCTGATTGATGACTCTGGTGAACGGATTGAGACGTAGTAGGGAATAAAAGAGCTTAGCAGTCACTATTTTGAGTCCCTCCTTAGTGGACATGTTGGTGATCACTCCTTGGAGCACAACGATATGAACCTTCTTCTCTCTTACAGATGTTCAGAGGCTCAAATTTGTGAGCTGGAAAGCCCTTTCTCGGATCTAAATATTCAAGAGGCTTTCTTTTCCTTGCCTAGGAATAAGGCTAGTGGACCAGATGATTTTAGTGCTGAATTCTTTAGAGGTGTTTGGTCTGTTGTGGGTTCAGAAGTTGTTGATGCAGTCCAGGTTTTTCAGATCAGGGCAGTTACTAAAGCAGTGGAATGCAACGACTTTGGTTCTTATACCAAAGATCCCAAACGCTTCAAGAATGACTGATTTTATGCCTATTTCTTGCCTAAACACGTTATATAAAGTCATTGCTAAGCTGTTGACTTGTCGGCTTCAGGAGCTCTTATCTCAGGTGATTTCCCCAGCCCAATCTGCTTTCTTGCCAGGTAGATTGCTTGCCGAAAACGTCCTGTTAGCTATTGAAATTGTTCATGGATATAATCAAAGGAACACAGACTCACGGGATATGTTGAAAGTGGATTTAAGGAAGGCATTTGACAGCGTCAGATGGGATTTCATCATTTCGGCCCTTAGAGCTCTCTCCATCCTAGAAAAGTTTATTTGCTGTATCAGTCAGTGCATCTCTACTCCTACATTCTCTGTTTCAGTAAATGGGTCTAGTTGCGGTTTCTTCAAGAGTAATAGAGGGCTACGACAAGGTGACCCTTTGTCACCTTATTTATTCGTTCTAGCCATGGAAGTGTTTTCTAGTTTGTTGAAGTCGAGGTTCGAAACGGGCTATATCTATTACCATCCTAAAACCTCAGATCTTTTGATTTCGCACCTAATGTTTGTTGACGATGTTATGATTTTCTTTGATGGGGAAGCTCCTCTTTGCATGGTATTAGTGAAGCTCTCGATGACTTCGCTTCTTGGTCTGAGCTGCAGGTAAATAAAGATATGACTAATCTCTACCTAGTTGGCACAGATCCAATTGAGGCATTAGCTATTTCAAGATACGGTTTCTCTACAAGCACTCTACCTATCAGGTATCTTGGGCTCCCGCTAATGTGTAGGAAGCTTAAAATTGCTGAGTATGAACCATTAATGGATAAGCTGGCAAAGAGGTTCATGTCTTGGGCAGTTAAGAGCCTCTCTTTTGCTGGTCGTGTGCAGTTAATCGCATCTGTTATCACATGCTTGGTCAATTTCTGGATGTCTACTTTTTTCATGCCTCTTGGATGTGTGAAAAAAATCGAGTCTCTGTGTTCTCGTTTTCTCTGTTCAGGTAGTAATGATGTAGGAAAATATGCAAAGATTGCTTGGTCTGCAGTTTGTTTACCCAAATCTGAGGGAGGTGTTGGCTTGCGCAGGTTCTCTCCTTGGAATAAGACCTTGTGCCTCTGTTTTATATGGTTATTGTTGGCAGAAATTGGTAGTCTTTGGGCTGCTTGACATAAAACTCACAATATCAGAAGTAAGTCTTTTTGGGCAATCGAGGAAAACAAGGGACTCATGGACATGGAAGATGCTCCTTCGATTAAGACCTCTTGCTGAAAGGTTCCTAAAGACTAAAGTGTGTAATGGGCAAAAGGTCTCCTTCTGGTTCGACAACTGGACTCCTTTTGGTCCACTTATGAAGTTTCTTGGAACCGATGGTCCCACTTCCTTGTGTCTTCGAGCTGCGGCTGAGGTTGTTGATGCTTGTAATGTTGCAGGCTGGCTTATTCTGCCTCCAAGGTCAGACAATGCATTAATTTTTCATACTCATCTGACTACCTTATCTCTACCAAATCTGGTTACTGAAAATGACAGCTACTCTTGGATCGTTGAGGAAACTGACTGTAATGGCTTCTCTTCCTCCAAGACTTGGGATGCTTTGAGGCCAAGAAAAGATGAGAAGAGCTGGGCTAGCTCTGTTTGGTTTAAGGGTGCAGTCCCAAAACATGCTTTCCATATGTGGGTTACCAATCTCAATAGGTTGCCAACAAGACAAAGACTAGTTTCATGGGGAGTTATTACGGATGCTTCCTGTTGTATTTGCTCTACCATGCCAGAATCTCGGGACCACCTATTCCTTACCTTTGACATCGCTGCGGCAATTTGGGCACAAGTTTTCATTAGGCTTTCGCCTGCTCATCGACAGATCCTGTCATGGGCAGAGCTTTTATCTTGGATACGACATTCAACCTCTTCCGCTCCCTCGCTGCTTCGCAAGGTGGCTGCTCAGGCATCCGTGTATCATATATGGCAACAAAGAAATAATTTGCTTCACAACAACCACAAGATTCCACCCTCCGCAATCTTCAAGATTATTGATCGAGAAATTTGAAACATCATCTTCGGAAAGCGGCATAGAAAGTGTTGGCGACCGCAATGCTCTTTTGGATTCGTTAGATTGTTTTTTGCGTTTCTATTTTATTGCAACCTTGTTTTTTGTTTCTTTTTGCCTTGGCTGCTCTACTTTTAGGATTTGCTCTTTGTAATTCCTAAATTTTCATTTTAATGATATTTACAAACTTAGTAAAAATATATATATATATATATATATATTTTGTTTAAAGGATCATAGATTCTATTCTTTTGGTTTCGAAACAAAAGAAAAAGATTATCTTATATGAAGGTGTTCGACATCTAACGTACGTTCTCCACGAAATATTACGTGCTTTCATATTCTTTTGTTTAAAGAGAATTATTGTCTTAAATTTTAAGCCTCTAACCAATAATGTATTTTGGAGTATAGGAAACGTACATGATATAAGATTAGGAACTTACGACTCCCAAGCCTCATATGACTTCCCAATCACTCGAAAATACTTGTATATTAAAAAAAAAAAAAAAAAGAAGAAGAAGTTATGTTCAATTTTGATTCGTTTGGTGAAAAATAATAGTAATTAGACAGAACAACAAGAAATATTATAATTAAGAAAAAAAAAAAAAAAAAAAAAAATATTATAATTAAGAAAATGGTAATGATGTGACTTATTAATACTATAGAATTACTTAAACTATTTTGTTGTCCAACTTTATTCTTGAATTATATCTACTCCGTTATTTTGTGAAAGACACATGAAAAAGTATAATTATCTGGTACTTCAATAAATATGTTTATAAATATTTTATACACCAAATCATAATTTAAAATCCCAAAATAATAGATCATACAATTATATCACGGAAATATTCTTAGGATTAACTAGAAGTAGGAGTACGTGTACACGGATTAAAACATGATATGAAAATGTCTCGCATTTTACAACATATAAATAAAACATAAGAATTTTGAAACAAATCAAATGGTCATGTCTTGACGTTGGAAGTGAACGAAATTAGAGCGTATATGATATGGGACACGAGCAGGACGGTACTTGTTGTCAAGCCACACACCCGTTCCTTTTGCCTCCAAAATAGGCTGCATTTTTAATTATATGAACCAGAAGAATCCAAATCAGAACAAAAGAAAAAAAGATCAATATCAAGGCTTGATGAGAGGAACAAAATTAACCTCTAGATTTGGAAGTTTAAAGATGAACTGTTCAAAGTAAATGCGCGCCACAGATACTCCCGATATCCTTGATTTCATCACAAATTTACATCCACTCTGCTCAAAAAATCAATTAAATGTACAAAACATTGATATTACAAATCGTAAAAATATTATATGATATGTCACAAGATATATATCTAGGAGAAGAGGATAAAAATTACACGTAGAGGTGCAAGGAACTTTATTGTAAACTCAGAAATCGCCAAGGCTTCACCAGAACGGGATACTTCATCACAGTTGATACCGATACTCTCCATGAACTCGTGTCGACCTTCGTATGAAAACAAGTTGAACAAGCAAGTTTAAAATACAATTGCATAAAATACTTGGCAAAGTCAAGTTCACCCGTCTTTGAAGGCGGACTGCGATATTGGTTTAGCACCCATCGGCGCTAGCGATCATCTTATGTTATAATTTTGTTCTAAACTATATTTCAAACTTTGGCGTTAAGTTGCATTCATTGTAAAACCGTCTTTTTTTGGTGAATAAATTTTACATTCATACAAAAAAAAAAAATGGGATATCGCTATGTAGTAGCACATGTCTCAACTCTAAACGAGAGGGTTTATAAGAACATGAAGCAGCAACATTTGCAAGCGAATTTAACTAACCGTGTTGGCAGTAGTTTGCATAAACAGCATTGTTCACAACACCAAACTGATCCAATTCATAATCGCGAACTTTAAGTTCAATCTCATGGAACCCACTCATTCTGCCATACGGAAATTTTAATTAGATTATGAATCTGAAATATTAGATCCCTCCCTCTTGGCCACTATAGATGTCTTAAGTGGCAAGAGTACCACCCTAACAAAACAAATATGAGATCACTGAGATCTTATGAATAGACATAGAGAGACATATGTGTACCCTTTGCCTCTTTTTAGTTCGAGGCATGCGAGAGGCTTGAAGGTCTTTAGGTTCCGGAGAGGGATGATAACCGGTCGCCTTGACGAACATGGAAACATAACAGGCATTGCCGGAGCTGCCCTGCCAGTAGCTTGAAACATTTCACTTTTGCGATGTGATGAGTAGTTGACAATTTTTGTGGGGTTTGTGAAGATTGGTTTCAGTAACCATATATATAGAAGAATACAGATTATAAAACTTACATGATCTTCTAGATTATACTGTATCAATAGATATAACGAAATCAATCAATCTTCTCCCACGCTGCCATATGTACAAGATAATTTAGAGAAAAACAAAAATATTTTTGTTTTAACATAAAAGAAACCAATTAATTTGTTTTTTTTTATCCAATGAAAAAGCTGATGTTTAATATATAATACAAATTAACTAAATTTTTAAGGTAAAAGTTTATGAGCAGGAAATAAAATAGTCACTTAAAAGAACACTTTAATTATAATAGATAAACTAATTAAAATTGATCACGATGTGTAACCTAACGGTTTGTGTTAAAATCATAGATGCATCACCATCCATATCCGAACACGTATATATTTTGCATGTTGTTAGCAAAAATTAGTCTATAGTTAATGAACGCAAGAGTGTTATGGAATTGTTATTTAAAATCTTCGAGATACATGTAGTTTGAAGGAGTTATTATTATTCTTTCGTTTTTTTTGGGTGAATTAGCGCAGAAGTAAAAATGGGAAAGGAAATTAGGAAATAAGTATTAGGGACGTTTGTCCCCTACAACGTCCAAAAAATCGTTTAAAAAGGGTTTGGTTTTGTGATTTATTACAAAAAAACCTATGCATGTATTGTTACTGCGCGTGGGGAAGGAGAAAAAAAATCTGACATTTAATAAATGTTTAACAGTTGAATTGACTTTTACTCGGCAGCTGATTGGACGAAGTGACGGTTATTAAATGCGACCGACTTTAATTAATTTGGATCTATAACAAAAACGTATGGCCGAAAATTAAAAATTTTAAACCACTAACTTAATTGCGAAGATATCTATTAATAAATTTAGCACGAAACTCTATGAAAGTGTATGTACATGTAGCTAAATAGCTAAATTTATAGATAACTATTAATTGACACGTTTAACCAAAAGGAACACATGAGACTTGTATCGTCCATCTCCAGAGGGATATTGCTACGCTTTGTAGATCTATATGTGGATATCCAAACATTGTTGTAGATCCTTATTTGTAACGTGAAAGTTGTCTCTTCCGGCGAATAAATTTACTATATAATTCTCTGATACGACAATATGAATAGTAACCACGACATTGTTTTCCTGCTCGGTTTGAATGAAATAGAATAGAGTTGAGAGAAAAAGAGAGAGAGATGAACATAAAAAAAATAGACATCCAAAAATCAGAAATTAAAATGAAAACAAGACATCATGTACATAGGGTTAGTTTGAGGATAAAGATGGGCGAAAATTATTGTTGTCTTAGGCATATGACCATAATACCAAAAATTTTATTTCACTTGGATCTAAGGTCTTCCAGCTAATTAACTCTCTTTTTTTTCTTACGTTCTTTTACTTTCCATGTGTAACCCACCTAAATGCTTCAATAGAAAGAAGTACGTAGGAAAGTAAAAGGTTTCAAATAAACGTAGGAGAAAATGCTTCAACAAATTCACTCCATATAGATTTCGGTGCATTTAGTGTTTCATAAGTTTATTAAGAAGATGTGTGCATTTATTGTTTCATAAGTTTATTAAGAAGATGTGACCTTTTAATTTTCCAATTTGGTGCATGTGGCCTAGGGAAAATGCCTATTTTTTTTCCTTAGTAAGCATGGCACTGCCTACTATGAAAGAGTGTAAAAAGTGTAAAGAGCAAAAAATAGAAGGAGACAACCTAGCTACATCTTCGAGACCTACTTCAAAAACCATTCACTAGAAAAGACCGCAACGTACAATTTCTACATGTTATGCATCACTCTTTTCTAAAATTACAATAAAAGAATACTACAACTACTGTCTTTTCCGAGTAGTGTAAATCTTCAACAGAACCATTGACAGATCTCTATCTTGTATAGCTAGTGGGGCGACGTCACAAACACCTCCCATGTGTGCTTCTCTCAAAAAAACCCTAAACTCTTCAAACTTGGGCTTCTCTTTGAGAACAAAACCCACTTTTTGTCAACACATTTTAGAGAATTTTTATTCAATAAAAAAAAATATATATATATTAGAAAGAGAAAAGAGAGAATGATGAGAGACTCTTAAATAAGAGACTTAAGAATATTCATAAGAGCCAAAGGAGACAAATTGCTTCTATATATTGGTTGAATTTTCTTTTTAAAATTAAAATTTAATTATATGACTAAAATGTATTAAAATAATTATCTATATTATTAATTGGGAATCACTAAATATTAAATAACCTTATGAAGAGTAAAATATTACAAAAAATGCCATTGATTTTTAGTGTTTTTAAATAACTTCATTAAGGGTACAATAGTAATCACAAAATTAATATATTTAAATAAAAAATAGTTTAATTCTTTTAAATAATTATTAATTTCCAAAAAATAAACTAATTTTCTCTCTCTTATTAATTATAAACGAAAATTTGAAATTAATTTTCAAAAAAATTGTTAACCAATAAGAATTTAAAATCTAAGATTTGATATCCAACTAAGATTTTATCTGAACCAATCGTAATAGACTATTCTATATCAAAAATAAAAAGAAAAATAATATCATTTTAATTCAAAATTAAAAACACTATCGTTTAAAAGATTTATCAATGGAGGACTTTAAGATTAAATTTAAAATTTCGTAAGAAAATTAAATACAAATATTTTAAGATTCAGTTTTGTTATAATATTGTCACAAATTTTAAAATATAAAACAAAATTTTATTTTAAAATTTCTAAAATACGATATTAGATATTAACAACTATTTATATTTATGATGAAATAAACTCAAATAATAATATTTAAAGTAATTATCATTATAACCTTCGTTTAGAGCAAGTTTGATAAATATCTAACAATAGATTGTAAATAGTAATTTCTAAATTATTTTGCGTTTTATTTTTTGTTTCAACCGGATCTTCCTTAAATAAATCCCTAATATATTGCACACAGTTTTCTAATAATGTAAACTAATTATATATTTTGAATTCAAAACAAATTATGCAGCAACAGCATATCCCTTTTAGAGATGTATCTCAAATTTTTATTTTTAGTCCAAAAATCAAATTAATTATGATTAAACAATAAAAAGAAGAATATGCAAAATTTAGCTAAGGAAAGAAACATTAATAAATTTGTTAAAATATATTTGTAACTTTAGCAGCATATATATTAATCTGGAAAACTCACAGTATGTATTGTATGGTATTTCAAAGTAAGCAAACAAGAATTTGGAACATGATTTTAATGGAATGAAATGAGAATAAGAATTACGAGACGGGATGAGAGGGAACATAAATTGAAAATCAAACTAAATACCCAATTGGTATGAGTTCAGGTTATGAGCAATATATAAAATAAATTTGTTTACATACATAACCCTATATGTACGTTTTCAGTTACACATATTCTATTTATGCCGGATACTGGACCGTCATATTTTTATTTCACGTATACGAGACGGGTTATGGACCAAGAATTTATGACAGATACATGACGGGATAGGTTTCCCGTTCTAAAATAGTTACGCCTAGCTAATATACATGAAATAACCAAACTCAAACCGAATCTATATCCTATTTAACACATGTAATCAAACTATTAGAAATGTTTTGATTAGTTTAGAAAATAAAAAAGTAACATCATTTAACTTTTGCAACTAAATTATATCTTAGTTTTATCTTAAATATAATTTCGCACGTACGTGTAGGTCCGGATCTTAAAATATAACTATGCACTAACGCAACTGAATTTCGTTCATTACTCTAATTTTATAATATTTATACTATTATAAAGTTCACTAACACAACAAAATATTTTATATTTTTAAAATCTATATAACAATTTCTATAAAAATATTTTTGCACGTACGTGTGAATCCAGATCTAATACACTAAAATATATATCATAGAAAGAACGAAATAATCTATATTGAATTAAAATTTGTTAGAACTTTCTAAAAAATATGAAACCCCGCACGTATGTGCGGGTCATGATCTAGTATTTTTCTTGTTTAAGAAACCTATAGAAGCTCTTATGGATGGGGATGGTCTTAGATCTTCTCAATAAGTCTCCAATTCCAAATCGTCACTTCAAGCAAGTGACTTTATATTATTGTCTTCAGTCCAGCTATATTTCTCTTTGTATCAACTCTCAAGCAACAGCTCTTGTAACACACACGCACATATCGTGTGTCATATAAGTCTTGTGTCTGTTCTTTATCTTGAGTCTAACAACCAGTTACAAACATACTTTCACTGGAATATATATAGAGTAAATTTAGTGAAACTAAATTAAGGCTTCTTTACTTAAGCGCCAATCGCTAACACTCAACCACCTAAGAGCCACAACCTTAACACACATCATGCAAACAAACAATCAATTATCTAATCAACCAGAAAAATGAAAATAAATTTGCACTGTTTCATAAGTTTCCAAAACGACGATGGCGCTACTTGGAGTTGGGAACGACATAGATCAAAGCATGAAAAAGTGACGATGAAGAGCTGATGAACTCGGTGGAGGGGAGTCCAACGTTTATGAATGCCCTACGCAAAACAAAATTTTTTAAAATCCCCTTCTATATATATTAAGCAAAATATCACAAGTAATGCTAGTACAAAAAATCACAATAAAGGTTCCTTAAAATTTTGTTTAGTGAAAAACCCACGAGTATAGTTGTAAAATGGTCCACGATTATTGCTATTATAAAATAAAGGTGTATAAGAAGAAGAAGAAAAACTTTTGTGTAAAAGGATACGAGTGTTTAAATCCTCGACAAAAAAAAAGAGAGGCAAATGCTGCGAAACTTACTACTATGCCACTTCGCATTAATTCAGATTATGATTTCACGGTCAATAATTTTGAAGATGGTGTCTCTGGAACTGTAAAATCTCTGGCCAAATCTCATACGAAATCGCAAAACGACGATATGAATCAAGAACCCACTCGGCGAGGTAACCAAAAAGAGTATAAACGAGGCACCAAAAACGAGTCTAAACGAGATAATCCAATCCTAAATCATTTCTGCATTTGTTGATTTCGATTCAGTCTTTCACAATTGTTTTGAGTAGGAGAGTTTCTGGAATGAATAATAGGATTTGTATCAGGTTCTGCACATTTTCCGGCAAAAAACACAGCCGGAGAAGATGTCAATCCAAACCATAGCCTCCCTTGCCGTCTGTTGGCTCCTGATGGGTTACCAGATCGGGTTCGCCTTAATATTTACTCTAAGACAGAATATCTTGGAATTCTGGTTGAACTACTAGAGGGTTCTGAGGCATGGGGTTTGCTTCTTGCTTCCCAATTCAGAAAAGTGTTTGAACTACCTGTGGCAAGGTGTTCTCATTCTGCCAAGTTGATTCATGGAATGTTTGCTAGACAGCTTCTGACTCAAAAAAGAATGAATTGTGGACTGTATATGGAGGGTTTCCACTCCGCTTCTCGCTCCGTGAATTCCACATCACCACTGGCCTGATTTGTGATAAGATTCCATCTGATTCTGAGGTAGAAGATCACCAAGACCCTGCATATCTATCTGTTTGGAATCGGCTATTTGGGGAGAAGAGGATAGTGACAGTGATGGATGTTATTGATATGCTAAGGGATGATAATAATGTGGAGCCTCATAAGTGGTTCACCACTTGGAAGAAGTTGAGTCTTGCTTTAATTGTGCTTGTAGATGGGGTGGTGGTTTGCAACAACAGAAAAGCTAGTCGGGTAACTGGGACTTTTGTTGAGATGCTACATGCTATTAAATTCTTCATGAATTACCCATGGGGACGGGTTTCTTTTGAAGCAACAATGGAACGGTTCGGTCCTTCACTGCTTGAGAAAGATCCTATTGAAGAGCTCAAGACCAGGCTTTCACAAAAAAGCAGCTGCTGTTACGGGTTTCTTCTTGCTCTCCAGCTCCAAGTCCTCAACTCCATTCCTGCCCTTTGTAGTAGGATTAAGACCCTGCTGATTTCAGAAATTTTATCCAAAGGCCTTCTGTTGATCTTTCTCGCACCATTCTTCTTCGCGAGTCAGATGTTGTTGATGCTGAATACAATCCTAATGTAAGTCAGTTTTTTTTATTTTAAATCTCATTCCAATTTCAGTTTTAGTGTGGAGGATTAACTCATTTGTTTTCTAATTTATTCCATCAATGATATCTGGCATTTGTGTACTTGTCAGTGGAATACACTCTTTACCATTCGGAACCGCTGAAGAAAGATCTGTCTTGGCCTGATGAAGTTGTTGATCCAGGAGTCGAATTGATTATCTCTTTGATCAACCAAACGCACGACTTCAAGCCTCAGATATGGCATGTACACGACATTCCCTGCTCTCCTACTGTGGCTGAAGAGAAAAAAGCAACTGAACCCAAGAAAGGTCCGACAGCGGAAAGACAGGAGGGAAAAGGCACAGCAGGAGCTCCTTTATATTCTGAAGGAACAAAATTTGTTGACCTGCATTCAGATGATGCAGAGGAACAAGGCACATCTGAACCTAGGAAAGCTGCGAAGAGGTCGAGAAATGGGAGCTACCATTTTCCTCGAAAGCTCTTCACGCGGTCAGCCAAAATTGCAGAAGAGTTTGTTGGTCCCCTGCCTTCTCGCAAGAAGACTACTTCTCATAAAACTAAGGAGAAACCCAAAACCTCTGCTGCTGCTACTCCTGTTCCACAACCCTAATCATGAAGATGCTTCGCATGCTGGTGCAGGGAGCTCATCTTCTCAGTTTGTTACCCATTCTGACTTGTCTGACTTGAAGGCTTGGATCTATCAACAGCTTGGCGACCTGCGATCCAATATTAATGATGATATTTTGAAGTTGGTAGGGGATAAGTCTCAACAGTGTAAGCCAGGGCATCCTCAGACCGAGACATCAAGAAGTAAGGCCAAGAAGAAGAAGGAGAAACCAGGTTCCCGGAAACGTAAAAGAAAAGATGTTACATCTTTGTCTTTTGGAAGCTCTTCATCCGGTTTGAAACATGGTTTATCTAAAGACATTCCCATTGGTAAAGATGGTGGAACTTGTCTGAATTTTGAAGCCTCAAATGATACGTGGGATCATTATGGGGCTGCAAAATCTATTTCTCAAGTATTACTTTAAAATAAACAGTGTCCTGTTTTATTTGTTACACGTAACCATGAAATAGATAATGCTGACACTCTTATGTTTGATTTGTAATTTTCAGAAGATACAAGCAGAGATACCTGCCTCTCCTATCCGAAACTCCAATGCAGAAGACACCAATGCATGAGAGCCTCAGAAAGAAACTGGTGAGGAGGAATTATTTGCTGGTTCTCCTAAGCAAGCTCCTGCTACCCCGGTAACACCTTCTGCACAGGTGATGATTTATCTAAATTGTGTCCTGTTTTATTTGTTATACGTGCCCAGGAAATAGACAATGCTGACACTCTTATGTTTCATTTGTAATTTTCAGAAGATACCAGCAGAGATCCCTACCTCTCCTATCCCAAACTCCAATGCAGAAGACTGCAATGCAGAAGAGCATCAGAAAGAAACTATTGATGAAGAATTATTTGCTGGTTCTCCTAAGCAAACTCCTGCTACCCCGGTAACACCTTTTGCACATATAATGATTTATCTATGCTGTAGTGATCAATTAAATGATCCCTTTCTCATCCACTTTTAGATGATGAATGTGAATATATTCCATATCGTAGTAAAGAAGCTTGGAGATGAAGACGCCAATCACCTAGCTCCGCTAATGCTCACAAACAAACGAGGAAGGGACATTGAGTTATCCGGGGATATTCTACACTCAGCAAATATAACTCCTCTATGTGTCGACCCAGTCCACATATATCCAGGTGGGGTTACTAGAACCTTCTTTACCCGTTGTTTGGACGTAGAGAATGTTAAGGTAATTTATTATGAATCTCTATGTCTAATAACCCGAGAGGGAGATATCCACGGTTCCCTTGCTTTGCTTAACCAATTCGTGCCTACATATGAGCACGCTACTGTCGCCTATGCCATGTTTCAAATGTGTGCGGGGAGGGGTGATATTGCTGGGGCTACTTTCGACACAATTTTCGAAAACTTAGGTAGTCGTCTTTGGTTCGATAATTACTCTCCCGATTTAGATGATGAATGTGAAGCTTTGATTGACACACTATTGACATTTGACCCTCCTGGTGAAGATACCTTTGGCCCCATTTGGGAGTTTGCTTATTCTTAGAAGATATGCATACCTGATTGTGCATATTGGCATGGTCACAAATATTATTGCGAAGGATGTTACATCTTCAATTCAGCATTACGTATATGTGAACTTCTCTAGAACTTCTTGTATTGCTGTAACCTTTAATGTAAAATAACTAATATTCAAAATTCTGTGATTGTATAATTATGTAACATTTTGTAAGAATGTTGTATTAGTTTCTTATGTCTCATTGTATAATTATGCAAAATTTGGGAAGTAATGTTTAATTAATTTATTATGTCTCATTGTATGATTAACGAACCGTACAACAATTTAATGATCAAATACCCTTTTTACTTCGATATTTCATGAACATTCCAGAAAAAAATAATTTTTTTGAGAATACAATTGTTGAGTTGTTGCGAAACAACTCCCCTACCAGATTTACGCATCTTCTTCGTTTTAATCTTTTTGTCATGCAACCTTGTCTCTTCTTTTTTGGAATTTTTCTTTCTTAAAAGCAACAACTTGGTCTTACACATTTAGTCATATTATTACTGTCAGTCGTAGAAAGACTCATCTCTTTTTATATTAAAATGAATTGCGTCGTTTTAATGGAGAAGAACATCTACTTTTGTCAAATCGTATTGTAAGATATCAAATAATATCTTTGGTTTTATATTTTTTTAGAAATCTAATTATTATTGTCAGGTGTAGAAAGACTCAACTCTTTTTATACTTTTTTAATACATGTCAAATCGTTTATCTGTCCAACGTAAATATACAAGTGGGTTGTATAGTCATAAGTTTCAATCATATCAATGAGCCAATAATCACTTTTTACTTCTCCTCTCCTCATACCATAACTCCCAACCATATCCCCCAACTTGATCATTTCAACACAATAATCCTTAACAAAACCAAACAGATTTTATAATAATTAAAAAGTCCATTGTGATAATATCTCCCAACTTAAACTTTTCCATTTTTAGTTTTATCTGTCCAACGAGAATATACAGGTGGTTGTATAGATATTCATTCCAATCATATGTATAACGTACTATTCACTTTTTACTTCTCCTCTACATTTATCCCAACCATATCCCAAAACTTGATAATTTCAACACACCACTCGTTACAAACCCAAAGAGATTTTATAATACAATACTTAATATTATACATTCAAATTTTCCCAAACGTTATAATACAATAATTATACAATATTCTAACTTATGGCTAGTAGATGCAGCAATCTAATTATACAAGGAAATAATAACAACAAATTACATCCGCATAATCCTAACATAATAGTATGTAAATACATCAACGACAAAATTTATTGAGAATGTCTTTAGAGCATTTGACAAACCTTTCTTGCCAACCACCACAGGTAACCCTCGTCACACAAATTCTCATAACCTCCATATGCTACTCCGCAGTCCATGGCACAATCCGGCGACGGGATACCTCTGAAATAGGATAGAGAAATGTCTTCCGGTATGAGTTGCTGCTCATTATTCTATATGGTCGTAAATCCCTGACCAACTCCTCGACCAACTCCTCTCCCCACCGTCTGACTTCCTCTGTCCCCAACGCAGCATGCATTTTGCCGAATAGCTCAAGATAATGTACAATCATACCCTCATTTTCATCACAAATAGAGAAGACACCACATGCTAGTGTTGCACACCCATCCTCAGGGACCAACTGAGCTAGAAGATCAATACCCGCTTTGATGTCGCATCCTTCAACCACCACCCTTAGCTCTTCGTAGTAGATTGCCGTCTTGTTACCCGCCTTAAGACATCTCTCAAAAAACGGCCGGTACCGCCTTGCATAAGGAGGCCAGTTTCTCGACTATGGAAGGCCAGTTCCCCAAAAAGCATTTCCATTCTTTCTTCCATTCCATAGCGTCAACCTAGTGGGTTCGTACACGTAACCCGATTGTGACCTAAACCGCCACATCTTCCACACTTGTTAGGCCATTTTGACTTGTTATTACCCTACATTGGTTAAACATGTTTTGTGACCTGTGATTTAAATCCCAACATATGGATGAAGTACAAATTTACTAACCTCATATTCCCCAACTGAATGTATCGGCAGCTTTGGGGGTCTCTCCGGGGGTCTCTTTGTTTTCGGAGGCATTAAACAGAGAACTCTTATTTTCTCAGGCACATCCACCTCCGATGGATCACGTACTGGGAGGATTGATTCTTGGACCGTTGGTGACCACATTCTTAGCCTATGCATCTCTCCAACCAAAGTTCTGAATTCCAAACCCCTATCATGTGCTGCAGCCATTGCATGGGCACAAGGGATTTTAATTTTTTGAAACTCCAAGCAAGTGCAAGTTTGTTATTCCAAGGAGATATGGAACAGTCCTCCATCCTTAGCGCCTACTTCGAAATCCCACCTTCTGACAGCCAAAACTGACATCCCCAACCCACCTTTGAACCGTTTCAGCAGCTCTCTTTCAACCGCAATTGGTATGTCCCCGACTGTTCTAGAGATTTTCTTCCTACGCGATTCAAACCACCTTCCGAGCATTTTCCTTATAAATTCAAGCAATGCTACAACAGAACTTCCCCTAGCTGGTAGTAAAGCATTGTTCAATGACTCAACAATGTTACTAGACATCAAATTATACCTCTCCCCTGTAAAATGAACCCTGCTCCAATTCGCAACCCCAATTTCTTCCAAATATTGCCAACAGCCCTTATTCCTTTTCTTGATTCTTTCACGCACATTATTAAAATCTTTCAGTCGGAACATGTTACCTGCTTGCCATACTAGGGCTGGAAGCCCACTCTTCTTTCCATACTTTCCTTTAACATTCCTTCTTATGTGGATTAAACTAGCTTCATGGTGTGCTTCAAGGTAGACGAGACTCACATATTTGAATATTGATTGATTTCGATCTGAGACAAAGGTCAAGTTTGGGCCATCTTTGATTATTTCTGAAAGCTTATTCATGAACCATGTCCATGATTCATCTGTCTCACTATCCACAATAGCAAAGGCCACTGGATATATCTGAAAGTTTGCGTCCTGGCAACTTGCTGTAAGTAGATAGCCAAGATATTTCCCGAAAAGGTATGTACCATCTACTACAACAACTCGTCGTAGATATTTTAACCCTTTCACACTAGCCCCCAATACTATAAACACATACTTGAATCGCTCATCCCCAACATCATCCAACTCAGTTTCCAAATGATCTACTGTCCCAGGATTTGCAAGCTGTAGGACATGGAGATATACCGGCAACAAGGTGAAAGAACTCTCATCTGTGCCCTGAACTGTCTCTACAGCCAGTTCTTTAGCCTTCCATCCGCACATTGTTTTCCCTCAGCAGAGAATCGGGTAAGTCTCTTGCTCTTGGACCACAAAACGCCTTCGCATACTTGGCCCTTAGGAGTGCAGCTACAACCTTAGAAGTAGAGTGTTTTGAAAACCTGCTCCTCCTCTCAACATTACAAATGTGTTCCAACTTTGCCTTCCTCACCTCATATTCTTCACTTTGTCCAACTTGGTGTGCTAATACTCTCCAATCACAGCATTTTTTTATCATAACATTTAGCTACCAAATAATTTTTCTCATACCTAGTAAATTTGAAGCGGAATATACGGTTTATAGCATAAATTGACAATGCAATCCTGAAATCTTCTCTCGACGCAAAAGTCCTTCCAACGAACATATTGTCATCCTCCTTACTCAAGTCAACATGAGCTTCTAGTCTGTCCATATCATCATCTCCAAACATTGGCTTAATGTCCTCATACCCATAAACTTCATCGATGCTTATCCCCTTCTGAAAAGTGTCAAGTAACTCTGTCATAACGCCTCCTTTACATCCAAGGTTATCAGTCATTTCTTCATTTGCTTTCTCTTTTCCTTTCGGTCTGACTTTCTTTTTCGGGGGCTGCTCAACGAAATCATCATCCCCACTGTCTTCATTTTCCATAATCTCTAGGACATCTTCAACACTCCCTACAGTGTAGTTTTCATAATCCAAATCATCATCTTCTGATTCAATCCCTGCACTATAACAATAAGAATCATCAGATTTTTCAAAATAATCTTCATCTTCACTCTCCATTTCATCGTCTACCGCTACAGATGTGTTTACCCCCGTAGCAACAACCAAATCTCCTTTATTTGCCATCTCTACTGCTTCTAGGGCTTCAAACAGAATATCATCGCTTATATCCCACTTCCCCCCCCCCCCCCCCCCGGAACTGTCAATAACATCTGTACTCTGTGCCATTGCTAACTGAGACTTGGGAGGATTTCCCGTGTTATTGTCTTGGACTAAAGATATCAGTCTAGCAAAGTATCCAACTTCCTCTGTCGTTCTTGAATTACCTCTAGCATCTACGATCCGTGTAGATGAATCTCAAGCTTCTAATCCCTTAGCGAAGCAACTGACAATCCTTCCAGCTTCAGGAGTAGGCCCGACTATGAATCCATCACCTTTTCTAAAACACACGAACAGGTTCACAGATTTATTATCCATGCTTAACGATTTAAAGCTTCGAAACTGTCTATCACACCCAATCAATGTCGGACCCGGCTGAACACCAGCTAACAGAGCTAATTTGTCCTCAAACATGTAGCTAAGCTCCATTGATATCGAGCTCCTCTCCATTTTGTATAGTTGTCTCACTTTCAGCTCCAAATTCCTGAAACTTTTTAACCCCATCAACCTCAACGCCCTCTCCTGCTGATAAGAATCCATCTTGAACTCCCATTCACCTATGCTGAACAGAATCCATCTTCCAGCCTGTACGAAAACAATATCATCCACTGCAAATGAAATTCAATTTAGAATAAGTTTCTACCGAAATACAGTTTAAAACAATCAAAGGAAATTAACAAATTAGTTTCTGATCTGAATTCCACCTTCCATCCTTTATTTCCGGAGATGAATGTCTTCAGTAATAAACAAACCCTTTCTTTGATGAAAATCATCTTCTTCTTTTAATCTTATAATGACTTTTTCATCAAAAAACCCAAAATAAATTTCCCCCCAAAAATTTTAGCCACTTTCGAAAAGGAATCGAACGATTATATCATTTCCCTCACCAACCTAGTAACTAATTTCAAAGGCATTAACTTCTCATTAATGCTATTGTTTCTCTTTGCTCCGTCTCCGCCATTGATGAAGTCGAGGTCTTTGAGAATTGACTTCGTCACTTACATAATTTTTGAGATAGGGTGGAAATAATGTTTAGGCCCATTACTCTGAACTCTCAGCCCATTAAGCTCAATTTGTTCCTATTACGAAAGCTGTAATACACCAGCTCACCTAGAGGCTTCTCTTTCCCTTGCAAAATGAAGGAAGCCCTCTCTCGTAATTTCCTCCCCAGCCTCCATACTCCACTTTATTTGCTATATCAGAGATCGTGTATCTCACGCACAGTAGCAGACCGACTGAATCTCAAATTTTGAATAGTATATGTACTACTTTCCAAATAAAGTTTGAAAAAGTACTATTTTACAACTTATCTAAAAAAAAAAAACAGTTCTCATTATATTTTTAAATGATAAAATGACTGTGTGTTATTTTTATTTTTAATTTAACGCATCATATACCATAGTATTGATTAATGACTATTCTCTAACACGCAAGGAACCGAGCATTAACTGCATGAGCTGTCATATTTGTGGAAGATTGTAGAAGAACTGGTCAAGGGGAATTGCAGGGTATAATCAAAAAATAAATATAATTAAGAGAGTAATCATTTTACTATAAACCTATAATATTCATTGTATTTTATGTATCATTGTCTATTTTGTCCTTGTTTTCCTGGTATTTGTTTATACTCTCTTTTTTCAAATGTCCCTACCAATTCGTGGTTTTCAAATATCATTGTGCTTCATTTGATACAATTTTATTTAGTTATATAGTACTATATAGAACACAACAACATTATATATATCTTTTTAAAAACTATCTTTCTTAAATTTCTAATTTATTTAAATTGCATATTTACATCAATTCATATGTTGTATAATTTTGTTCCAGTGTTTACTTCGGTTGTTTGGGTTGCCAATATTATATTTCATAGGGTAGTGTTTTTTTCTTTGATGTGCGTTTAATTCGGTCGCTTGGATTTTCTATGTTTTATCTATTACGGTTACTGTCACTAGTACTGCCACCACCACCACCGCAACTAACACTACTATCCCACCATCACCACCACGTCGTCACCACCACCACAACCATCACGATCATCGTAACCTCACCACCATTAATATCACCACGTTGTAACTACTACCACCACCAACGCCACCACCACAACCACTACCACATACCGTCGCTACTACCACCACCACTATCACTATTATCACTTTATTTTATTAAAAAAATTTCGATGTATACTATTTAATTTCTTTCTATACTATTTTATTTGTCTATTTTAGACAAGCACTATTCACTATTTTAAATAATTAATGTCCGATTTTAAATATGCAAATTATGTTATACACAAAAATAAATCTATGCTTTTTTAGAACTATTGCAAGATTTAATCAGTTATTTTTATGAGACTAATTCAACATTTAAAATCATTTGAGAATAATATCAATTTGGTCATGTCATCATTAGTCTCTCTCTTCTTTGACTCTTAACTTATACACACGTCACCACGTCTTCTTTCTTTTCCCACTGCGCGTGTACTTCACTGCTGCTGTCCCATTTGATCTTTTCCTTCATCCCTTATGTTCTTTTTTTTTAATATTTTTGAATAGATTGTTATATTCTTAAATTTACATTAGATTTTAGTTTTAGAGCAAATTCACCCACTCGTCAATGCAATATTGAGGTTGATGAAAATAAACTGAATTTTATTAAGGTTTGGTCTAATTATAAACCACAGACCACAAAACTGAATAGTGAATATTTAGGGTATCCAAATTTAAAAAGAAAAATTAAAAATTATGGAGGTTACTAGTTAAAAAAGTCTTTAGTGAAAACAATTTTTAAAATCTTAGAAATTTGGAGGCCTCCTGCTGAAAAAAGATTAAAATTGGGGCTCCCATTTTAATATTGTTGAGTGTAGGTATGAATAGAATTATTTTTCTGCTTGATTGGTAGAGTGAGAGCCTGTAGAAGTTGTGTACAGACAGTTTATTAGAGCACCCTACAGCTTTAAAACTAAACAATCATGCTATACAATATTTTCTAAAAGCTACCGCTAAAACAAAAAAAAAATCTTTTGAGTTTTTGGCTTTACACATCCAATTTTCCATAGTACCCAAAATTGAGCTTTGGATTTTTCACTTTCTTTTTCTAACCTTCCCACGTTCCCGATTTCCAAATTATAATTCATTTATCTAATTTGCCAATATATGTAAGGGTGATTTTGCTCAGAGACAAAAATGGGAAGAGAAATTAGGAAAACAACATTATATCAAATGGTCGGTGACGATGAAAAAAACGGGGTTGATATTTGGGTCTGAACTTCAGCGAAATAACGAAAAAACCTTTCGTCACCGCATCATGCGCGTGGGCTCGAGATGGTGCCGTTTCGCGAACTGAAAGAACAACCTGCAGGAATTTAATGCAACGACTATAACTGACACAACCGCGTTTTGCAAAGAATGAAGTGACTGACATTAAATGCACAAGCTGTGGACGCGGGCGGTTGGAAATTCAAATTATGGCGACATGACTGGGCGGGAGAGCTAAAATTTAAAGAGCTACGCTAGATACGTGAACCGCCAATAAATAGGAGTGCTGGGTTGAAGGGAAAAGGTAGAGCGACACAAAGAAAAAAAAAAAAAATTAAAAGTTAACAAGCTACCAAGTCTGCGTAACAAACGAGCAAGTTAGGTAATATTTACAATGTTAAGCATGTTTTCTAATATAATCTTGATGTTTTTATATAAGTTTCATAAATAGTAATAGTGCTTAACCACGTATACTTCTCGTGGCTGCAGACGTGTGTGATGGAGGTCACGGACGAGAGAATAAGCGACTGTGTGCGGGTGCAACTAGGAGTATGGAGTAAGGACGAGAGTGGGGTCTGGAGATTCAAGGAGACGCAGGAGGGGACCGGCAAAAGCATCCGGTTCAGGGAAGGCGACGGGGTTGATGCGGCTAAAGCGAAGGTCATGGAAGCATGGAACATAGACCGAACATCAGAAAAGGTGGAACTGACATACGAGATGCCGGAGTGGATGGATGTAGACGGTCAAGTTAAACCTGTCCCGATACACATAGTCTCCGACGACAACATGGACATGTTCCTAGCGATGCGTGTGGACATTCACGAGATGAAGCTCTATGTTGTTCCAATGCCCCTGCATATGACGTTAGAAATCGATGGGTTCGAAGTGGTTCCGATAATGGACGAATTTGCTTTCGCCGAAGTAATGAGTAAGAAGGATGTGGAGAAAGAGATGCAGAGGCGAGCGGGCAAAGCAGCCATAGACGACATCATGTGCACCCAGCTCCCAAGTGAACATGTCGGCGACAGCGGGGATGGGTTACTGGGGTGGGTTGGACATTCATACGGGTCTAGAGGGTTTGCTACGTTGTCAGCCGCTATGAGACACTACAGAGAAGCAGCAGCAGCGGCCGGGCGTGATAGGTCACCGCAGAGTGTACTGGAACCGGAGAGCAGTTCTTCGACCGAGCACGAGACAAGGGTGACTAGGCTAACCGGGGACTTGTTTAGCGATTTCGAGAGAGGTATGTAATTGAAAATAATGTCTATCTACAAGTATGAATCGCTAAAGAAATCTATACACAGCTACACTAACTATTGAATCTCTAAACTACTGTTGGCCCATGACAAAAACAGCTGCAGATCCAAGTGGGGAGGAAACAGAGGACGCTGAACCTCTAAACCAGCTCTTCCCAACCAATGCTGAACCGGCTCCAACCGTTGGTAACAGTGAGTATTGTAGCTTAGCGTACTAAATACTAAACTAATAAAGATGCTTCTCAACTTAGTAACATCAATTGTGACCAGGCGGAAACACTAGCGCCGACCCCCCGATGGAAGGATCTGTAGCGGGAATGTTACGTTTGTTAAGCCTGCCAGAACAAACTTTCGCCCGCGACGCAGCCCCGGTTCTAGATGACGCCAACCCAGACGAGGATGGTAATACTTACATTAAGCGCTATCTGCTTATTTGAAAATCTATTATTGTTTATAGACGTCCACATACTAACATAGATAGATAACCTACTACACAGGTGGGGATAGAACAAGGAATTTCCTACTAGACGTGGATTACGAGGGAGATGAGCTATTTATAGGGCGAGTGTTCAAAAGCAGAGACGACTGCAGAGTTAAGATAGCGGTTCATGCAATAAATAGGAAGTTCAGCTTCCGAAATGATCGCACAACCAACGATATAGTCCTGGTCCGGTGCCTCCACGATGCTTGCCCTTGGCGGGTGTACTGTATTCGCCTCGAATCCAGTGAGTACTTTGAGATTCGTACGGCAGTACTAGACCATGTATGCCCAGTTGAAGTTAGAAGCCAATACCAAAGGCAAGCTACTACGTCCGTGATATCGGAGATACTAAAGTCCAAGTACGGTGGCGGAGGGGTCGGTCCAACACCAATAGCAATCAGGAGGGCTTTGTTGGACGAGTATAGTGTAAACGTTTCGTACTGGAAGGCTTGGCGGGCTAGGGAATTAGCAATGGACATGGCCCAAGGGACAGCGATGGGGAGTTATGGTATCTTACCAACATACCTTCATATGTTGAAACAAGCAAATGATGGTTCCGTTACTGAGTTACCGAGAAAACAACATATAGACTGCTGTTAGATTGAATTACCGATGCCAAAAACGATGAAAATCTGGTGTTAGATTGAATTACCGAGAAAACAACATTATATCAAATTTTATGTAAAAAAGTAGAAGATTGTAAACATATAGATCTGCGAATATGTGTACAAATGCAAAAAAAAGGGTACATATCAAATTTAAAACCGGAAAATAGTACAGATCTAAAGGTAAATGTAGGGACGCAAGAAAATAGATAAAGATCTAGGAAATTAAATATTGTTTTAAAAGCGTAATTAATTCAAAAAGTATAAAAATGGAGATCTACAAGGATCTATGAACATGCAAGCCATAACTTTGCAGATCTAAAAAAATTGGTGTTTGAAGGGTTTTTAAAAAAAAAACTAAAGCGAGAGGAAATCATCAACACGAAGGAAAAACAGTGAAGGCTGGACTCATATCTTTATGGCTGCAAAGAGTAAATTCGAAAATCTACTGTGAAAAGGAAAAGAAAAAAAAAAACTTTAACTATCTAGAAATTCGATCGATTACCGTCTGGCCTTTACGAAAGAGTGAGAGACGACGGAGGGGATGTCGGTAACGAAGTAAGTAAGGTTGCGGAATAAGAAATGGAGATAGTGCTCCGGAGCAAGAGAGGAAATCGATTAGAAAAGTTAGGGTTACTAGAATGAGAAGGCGGGATGAATAGAAAGAGATAGAGAGAAGAAACCGAAGAGACGACGTCAATAATGATTACTCGGTTTCACACGCTTTGTAGCCTCGGGAAATACATAGAAAAATGATAGCGTTTAAGACCTTGGGTAAATGTTATTGCAAGTAAGTAAAATCGCGTGGGGCTAAAAAGGGAAACGGACGAGGCTAAATATTATGAGCGTCTTGGGCCTTGGATCCAATTACGGAAAAACTAATTAGCTCCCAATGCAGGGCTACTGACCCAATTATCTCTATATGTAATTGCATAATAGTGACATTTATTATCATAATACTATATATACTAGATTTTAATCCGCGGTACACCGCGGGATGATTTATTTTTAAAGTTAGTATAAAACTATTTTGTAAATTATATCTTCTTATAAAATATTTATTTTATATTATAGTTTACAATTGTTATTAAGTAACGGTATACCACGAGTCCACGAGACAATTGTTAATAAACTGAGGATTTAACCCGTATTAAAGCGGCATGTTAATGATATTTATAAATATTGATTCAAATTCGTCCGCCATATAAACCTGTTCCGAAATATACATGTTCCTTAATTTCTTAACCCGTGTGGTGATTTGTTTTTATTTTAAAATTTAATGATTAGTTATTGTATATAAAAGTTTATAAATCATATCATTCTCTAAGTCATTTATATTTTAATAAACTGAAGATTTAATCTGTATTAAAGCGGCATGTTAATGATATTTTAAAATTTTATAAATATTGATTCAAACACGTCCACCATATAACTGCGTTCCGAAATATAACCCGTCCTGCAACTTCTTAATCCGTCCCGTGATTTGTTTTCTAAAAGTTGTAATTTTTAAAATCTAACGATTATTTATTATATATAAAAGTTTGCAAATTGTATCATTTTCTAAGATATTTATATTTTATAGTCTACAATTGTTATTAAGTAACATTATACCACGAGGCAATTTTTGGTTTTATACAATCTTTTCTAAATGAGATTCATTTAATATGTCTAATATTGGTGGTATTAAAAAAAAATTAAGTATTTAATCCGTATTGAAGCGGCGGATTAATGATATTTTAATCTTTTTATTACTGTTGATTCAAAAACCCGTCCCGCCAAACCCGTCCGGCCAAAAAACTCATTTATTTTATTAATGTTGATCTTATTTATGATATGATTCTGAATCATTGTCTAAATATTTTAATCGATGTAGAACGTTGAACACACATTTTCGTCAATTGGATAATATATGTCCGTTTTTTAAAATCAATTTTTTTTTTTTTTACTTTATGTATTATATGATGATTCAAAACAGTTAAAAATAAATCAAACAAAGATGATAGGAGAATCATAATTCTAAATCTTAATCAAATCTTCTAAATATCTAAATTATTAAATATGGAATATCCGGTGTATGAGTTGGGTTAAATATAACCCGACCCAATAAACTTTTTATGACCAAAATTTGTAAACGGGTCGGATATCCAAAATATCCGAGAACAATTTTACCCACCCGACTCAAAAGTGACTGCAAAAATACTAGTATAGATATATATTCTACTGTATATTTACCAATCAAGCTTTCAATTTTAAAAAGTTATAGCTAAAATCGTAACCACAGTTTAAAAATCTATAGCCCAAATTCTACAGCAAAAATTGTAAAGTTACAACTACAATTTTTGCAAAAACCTTTCGTAAATAGTAGGAATTAGGAAAATTTTCGAATTTATCAATTTTCTTATAACCTTATCAAACCTCGAAATTGCAAAAATTGATAAGTTTTTCTGCAATTCATAAACTTATCTCATACGCTCATAAGATAAGTTGCATTTGCAAAATTACCAAAATCATAGACTTGACTTCTTAACTTCAACATACGTGTGGAAAATTAGTCGTCTTAGACCATCCGCAGTGGTGTAAGTGTGAGGGGGGGTGTAAGATTTTTTTTATTATTATAATTTAAAGTGAGAGAGAAAAGAGAGAGAAAGAAAGAGAGAGACAGAGAGAGAGTGTCTTACACCCGAGTGTAAACTTACACCCGAGTGTGAAGAGAGAGACAATTTTTTTCTTTTTTTAATACCTACACCCGACGACTAACACCCGAACGCTTGCCCCACTGCGGATGGCCTTACTATGAAAACTGATTTTCATAATTTCGCTTTGCTTTTCTTTGGAGCCACAAAAGTAGGCAATGCTCCGGGATCACACGTTAATATATTTTTTCCACACGTTAATATTCCAAATAAAAGTTGACCAATTCACATTTTCTCACTCGGCCATAAGTCAAGCAATAAGTATTTATTTTTCTCAGCTCACCTATAAAATTATAACAAAGCTCTAATGTCGACTACTTCTTACAATAACGTATGCATTACTAAACAAACAAAAACAAAAAAAATTTTTAACATTAATTAATAAAAATAATGGGGAAATGCCTAGCATTGATGATCTTCCTCTCTTCTTCTCTTCTTTTTGTTCTTCAAAACCTCGAAGTCGTTAATGCCGTCATGTGTGCTGGAAGCTTCTTCAAAGGTAATAGCAGCTACAGCGAGAATCGCCACAATCTCTTCTCTACTCTTGCTCATGAAGTCGTCACCAACGGTGGATTCTACAACGCTTCACTCGGTAAGAGTCCCAACACAGTTTACGCTCTTGTCCTTTGTGCAAGAGGCTACCAGCGACAAGCGTGTTCCAGTTGTGTCGAAAAAGTGACTCAGGGGACACAAACGAGTTGTCCGGATCGCATGGATACGTTCAAGTGGGACAACGACGACGAAGACCATGTTTCTTGTCTTGTACGTTCCACAAACTACTCAACTTTAGGGACGCTCCAACTTGGACCTCCTGTTATATTCCCAAGTCCACTTAGTATAGATCCATCCAGAGACATGACCCTTTTCAAACAACAGTGGGAAACAACGGTTAATCGGACCCTTGAGGCTGCCACGGAAGCTGAAACTTCCTCGGTACTTAAGTACTATAGTGCGGTACAAGCCGAGTTCACGGAGTTTCCAAATGTTTACATGCTGATGCAATGCACACCAGACATATCTTCCCGAGATTGCAAGAGATGTTTGGGAGATTGCGTGACGTATTTTACAAAACAGTTTTGGGGAAGACAAGGAGGAGAGGTTAGTCGTCCGAGCTGTGTTTTCAGGTGGGATCTATATGCGTTCCATGGTGCTTTTGATAATGTAACAAGAGTTCCTGCACCTCCTCAACAAGTAAAGGGGAGCTCTATAACAGAAAAGAAAGGTAAAACAAAATGAGGTAAAACAATTTCACAATTTGTAAAATGATAGAGAGGTTCTCAAACTAAAAAGGTTTAATAATTTGCAGGAAGAAGCATTGGCTATAGCAAAATTATTGCGATAATTGTGGTTCCTACTTTCATTAATATTTTCGTGTTTATTGGTCTCATAAAAGTCTATGCTTGGAGGAGAAAATCAAACAACGAAATAAATGGTAAGTGTACTTTGTTTCTTGCTTCAATCAATTTCATGATGTTACTAGTAAAGCTTATTTCTCTTTTTTTTTTTAGTTGGTAGGGCAGAGTACTCTGATTCTGATGGTCAATTTATGTTACGGTTTGATCTCGGTATGATCTTAATGGCTACTAATGACTTTTCGTCTGAGAATGCGCTTGGCCAAGGTGGATTTGGTACTGTCTATAAGGTAGTACCGTAGTAATAATATTTTCCTCGTAATGAGTTATTATTGATTAATCTAAGTCATAGATGGGTAACCGATCTTGAGAACCGGTTTCAGGGGACATTACTAAACGGGCAAAAGATAGCGGTGAAGAGACTAACAAGAGGTTCGGGGCAAGGAGATATGGAGTTTAAGAATGAGGTTTCGCTATTGACAAGACTCCAACATAGGAATCTGGTTAAGCTTCTTGGGTTCTGTAATGAAGCAGATGAAGAGATTCTTGTTTACGAGTTTGTCCCCAACTCAACTCTTGATCACTTTATCTTCGGTGAGCCTTTGAAAGACAGTCGAATATTATTATAGTGTTCGAATAATTTTAGCAAAAAAATGTTTCTTTGAACTCTACAGATGAAGAGAAGCGTTCGCTTCTTACATGGGAGCTGAGATGGAGAATTATAGAAGGCATTGCTCGAGGTCTTCTTTATCTCAAGATTCTCAGCTGAAGATTATTCACCGAGACTTGAAGGCAAGCAACATTCTTTTAGACGCTGAGATGAACCCTAAGGTTGCCGACTTTGGGACAGCGAGATTGTTCGAAGCTGATGAGACTCGAGCTGAAACAAGACGAATAGCTGGAACCCTGTAAGAATATAACAACCAATCTTGAAAACAATTGTAAATGCTATTTTTTAGCAGAATCTTTTAGAAATTATTAGTTAATGTTATTGGTTGCATATATGCAGTGGGTATATGCAGGGGGGGGCGTTTGGGGTGCGCAAGAGGAGCAAATGTACAGGGCCCAATTTTTTTGGGGTAAATTTAAGGGCCCAAATTTTTTTTTTAGTATGAAAAACACTAATTTTTAAGATTTTTTTAACATGAAAAGGCCCAATTTTTATTTTTTTTGTATGAAAAAGGGCCAATTTTAAAGATTTGTACAGGGACCCCAAATTAGTTGAGCCGGCCCTGGGTATATGGCTCCCGAATACCTGAATCACGGACAAATCTCAGCTAAATCTGACGTTTATAGCTTTGGTGTTATGCTTCTAGAGATAATAAGTGGTGAAAGAAACAATAGCTTCGTAGGAGAAGGACTTGCCGCTTTTGTAAGCTTCTTAATATATCAATCTTTTCTCCATTTTCTTTTAATTTCAAACCTCTGTATAGAAAGTAAGAACATATATATTTTCTTGGTGCAAGGCATGGAAGAGATGGGTTGAAGGAAATACTGAGAGTATAATTGATCATTTCTTGATAGATCAGCCAAGAAACGAGATCATTAAGTTGATCCAGATTGGTTTGTTGTGTGTTCAAGAGAATGCAGCAAAGAGACCAACCATAAGCTCTGTTATAGTTTGGCTTGGTAGTGAGACTATCATCATTCCTTTACCTAGAGCTCCTGCTTTCACTAGAAGTCAATCTCAATCTGAGAATGGTACAATGTCAATGAGCGATGATGTCTTCACGGAGTTGAGTTGTCGTTGAGTTATATATATATAGCTCATAAATTAATCAAACCATATATACATTGTATCTTGTGGAATATATTGATCATTAATGTATCGTAAACTTTGTCCTTGGGCTTGTATTCAATTTTGGGTCAAGGAATTAATCCTTTTTACAATTGGAGAAGATTTCTAAACTGTTTCTAAGCATTTCTGCTATTTCATAATGTTTTCTTCTATCATCTTTTGTGTTGTGTCTTTTGATATGAGTGAGGAGTAGTCACCTATAGTATTAGTGGTTTACAACGGTTTTGTCCATCATGCTTATTTATTTTAAAATTAAAGATAAAAAATCATGTTAATAACTAGGGTTTACGAGGTATAGTTCCACGTAAAGTTCCACTTAAGTTCACAACCCCACGAAAGTTGAGCCTCTTGCTCTGGTTACACAGAGTGAAACTCGACAATGTAACCCCACAAAGTTTGAAAATCTACTTTAAACTCTTTTGTAGTTGATTGCCAATGAGATATATCATCTGTGACTTTCATTTGTCTCAACTTCAGCTCACAAAATCACATATGCATAAAAAAAAAATGACATAACAAAATTTAAAAAGGAAGTAGTATGTGTAGCATGTACTTGATTAGGCAACAAAAGCAATTAAATATAGTAGTTGAATCATTAATGATGCAATGAACAAACTATAAAGTAGTGAACAATCACTCTCAAAATAAAATGAAACCAATCCTAATTTATATTCTTCATTCAATCCTCTTTATAATAGGAGCTATGAACTCAAAGGGGATTACTCATTCTCATAACAATTCCCATAACTCCATCTGTAGGTGAATTGGAGAAAAAATGGTAGAGGAGGAAGTTGAGGTAGATGTGGAGATCAAATCTACGGTTGAGAAGTTCCACATGTTTGTCAGAAAATCACAACATGCATGTCTCCAAAGCCACTCGCTACATACAGGGATGTGATCTGCTCGAAGGCGAGTGGGGCAAAGTTGGAAGCATACTCTTGTGGAAATTAACTTTTGGTAATGAAAATATTATTTATATATACATTATGAAAGAAGATTAACCCTTCAACTTAGGTATAATAGATACGGGAAAGAAAAGGCATGATATATAATTGTTTGTTAACGCGTACTTGTGTAGATGGAGAGCCAAGAGTGTCGAAGGATAGGATCGAGGGGATTGATGTGGAGAAGAATGTGATCCAGTGGAGGGTGTTAGAGGGACCTCTGAAGAAAGAGTACAAGAGCTTCTTGAAAACGATGAAAGTGAGCCCTAAGAAAGGAGGGACTGGAAGTGTGGTGAAGTGGAACATGAAGTATGAGAGGATTGATGAGAAGGTGGTTCACCCAGAGAGGCTGCTCAAGTTCTTTGTTCAAGTGATTACAGAAGTTGACCAATACCTCTTGTCTGAGGATTAGGGGACCCTTCTGCTTGGCTTATATATTTGTGGGAGAGTTATTGTATGCATAACAGTGTAAGGACTCTTCTTGTGTTTTGTTTTATCTCTTGAGATTTAGAAGAGATGTCTAAAAGTGTGCTATACATAATACATCATGTCTTCAAGTTGGAAGTTGTAATATTTTGAGTAGCTTATGAGTTCTCGTTTATGTATGATGTGTTTGTTAATAAAAAAAATTATATTTTAGGGTTTAAATTTTAAGTTATTTCATATGCGATCTTGAATTTATTTTTCTAAAAAGATTAAAAAAAAATAAACGAAAGGTGAGGGATACAAATATATCTATGCAGTATATTGTTTAAAATGGTTCAGAACATTATAGATTATGTTATTGTAATTTTTATGACATTTTCCGAGAGATATCACTTTGGCAACACGTTAGCAAAGCAAACCATGTAGTTATTTATAAACTTACGGCTAGTTTCTAAAAATGTTTGGTAACATTTCGGTTTCAAGAATATGGTAGTGCATGCAGAGAGGTTTAAAAGAATTGATTTGGCTACCTATATATGTCACCAAAGTGCACTTATTTTGAGTGTGCTTGAGCTGGAGAATTTCAGGATGGGTGACCTTCCGGGAAGTGATTGTCAGAACTGTGTGAGTGAGAACAAAACACGGGACAAAACATGTGGTGATTTGTAGGATCGGTAAACAAGTCTTTAAAGTCTTTCGGACGTAGCGGACCGACTGCCGGACAAAGATGGAGCCCGCGAGACTGAGAGAGAAAGTGAGTGCTCACTGGTAGAACTTCTACCGTAGAAGCGGTCGGTGCGTTACATGTTTAATTTTATATAAACAAAAGATAGGTATGTATCCTTTTTGATTGAGATTGATACTAAAGACTTCAAGTGCGAAGGCTAACGACCAGCTGCTTTAAATCATTGCTATCAGAACTTATGGTTGAAAATAATTTGACACCCTACGAATGTTTAAAGAATTCAGGAGAGATTATGATCATCTCGACTTTGCTAATCTTTCTTTTCCTGATTCTATCACTAATCGTCTATTTTCATTTCTATTTCTTTGTATTTTTGCTTTTCAAGATCAGATTGCCCAGTGTATAAGTTAGTGTATTTACAAAATCTTCCTAACCAAAGCCCAAAACTTATGCCGGTTCTCAACTAGTCACATTCACTCATTCTGATTTCACCACTAGAGAATCATCAGTATAACATATAACCGTCCTAATGCAGCATAAATACGTTCCCAACACATCAAATGTTTTTCATAACAAATAAATAATAGTATAAAAGAATATTTTATATATAACTATTATATCCTAGAGTACTCTAAAATATGAAGTTAGTAAACTTACAATCATTGTTTAACTAAAATTCAATATTTATTAAGATTAGGGGGATATTTTAATGGACGAAACAGATAAATATAAGGGATTTCTAACTTTCATCTTTATTTATTCTATGTGGAAAACTCAATATGTCATCAACTTAACTATAAACTAGATCATCACCCGTACTAAAAGTACGGGTTGAATTTTATTTATTACAAAATTTATATAATATATATATATTAGAACTAAGTTTTAATATATTATAATAGTAAGTGAAAAATATTAATTTTTTTGTCAGTCCCTATATACAATATTAGAATAAATATAGAATTTGTTCTATAATACTCAATTATGGATAAATTTTTTTTTAAGATATGAAAACGGAAAATAATTTTATTTTTTAAAAAGTAATATTTTTTGAACAATGAGTTAATTTATGTTAACAACCACAAAATATGATTGCATATATTTCAGTTAGATCAAAAATTAAAATATCATAAATAAATCGCATATAAAACATAGATTATTTTGAATTAATTAAGAAAATTAGGTATTATTTTGAATTAATTTAGAAAATTCTTTTTCAATTCATAATTCTTTGGTTGTTGAAATAGAGATTTTTTTGAGCTAATCTAATTACAGAATTTGTTTGAGATTTATAATTACGGAATTTACCAATTATTCGCATAATCGAATATGTTATAAACATATATTTAGTATATAATAATACCAAAATCAACCCGTGCGTGGAGTCTATATATTTTATTTTAGAGTCTCAATATTTCATTTTAAAATATTGCGTGCACAATCTATTATTCGTTAATTCTAAAATTGCTTGCGGAATCAAATTTTCAAATATTTAGAGGTGTCAAACCATATTTTAATGTTCTACACTATTTTTAAATATTCCAAATTAAAATCTTTAAATTTTTTTTGTAGTTTATAAAATTATGAATTTCAAAAAACAAATTATATAAAATTAAATATAACTATTCAAATAGTTATAAGGATCAAAACTTATTTCATCATATAATATATTATATTTAATCCGCTACCTATTATAATTATTTTTAAAAATAATCAAATTAGAGTATTTATAATTTTTAACTTTTGAACTATTAAGTATTCATGATATTCTCTAAAAATATCAAGTAAAACTTATTTTAAATGTTGCAAATTAAAATATTTAAATTTTTATTGTAGTATATAAAATTATACATTTCAAAAAAATAAATGTATGAAATCGAATATAAATATCCAAATTCTGACCCGTTGCTGAGTCGGAATTTTTGTTGATTTTATTTTTGTGTAAAAAAAATATATTACTCAAGTCTGAATTTTTGACCCATTTAATTGTTTCCTTTATAGATTGAACAATTTATATGCGTTTTTAAAAATTCAAATCTTGGCATATGCAGAAAAAAATTTACTTTTTTTTTTATTATGTAGATGATATGATGATTTATTTGTTTCATATTAATATAATCATATAAAGATGAGAGGTGAAGTTTAATGATTAATAACAAATTAATATGGTAAGTTACATATCAAATCTTATATGTTCATTTTGATTGGTAATATTAACAAATTTTCGTTTTATAATTTAATTAAATGACATAAATTAGTATTTTACTTATTTATCTTTAATAAATTGAATGAAATTTGTTCTAAAATAAGATTTTTGTAATGACATTCTTAAGTAAATTCTTACAAAAGGGAAGGTTAGTTAAGGGTATCTTATAAAGTGTACTCCCCAAATAATAGTATAGGATATATATAACTATTATAACATTGACTAACTATATATATTAAACTATATGTTATTAGTTGATGTATTTTTCAATATGTCATCAACTTAACTATAAATATATAACAATGATATTATAGAGAACTTCTCAATATGCCACCGAAAAAAAAAAAAAAACAAACTCCCGGACATCAATCAAAAAAAATAAAAAAATCCAAATTTCCTTTATAAGGTTAATCTAATTATAGGTACGTTTTTATATGTTAGTTAACTATAAAATCGGAACGAATTATCGAGTTTGTAACTATAAAATTGGAATTAACTTCAGTTTGTTATATTTAACGTGCGTTTTGATTGAGATTGAAGCAAAGTATTATCATTTATGTGTCTTTATATATGTTAGGCGTGTATCAGTTTTGATTACGACTGAAACAAACATTTTAAAGACATCAACCACCAAAGACTGACTAGATGCTTTAATGATTGCTTTAGAAACTTAAGGTTCAAAAGAAAACACGACGTAAATCGGCACAGTACGGGCGTTTAAAATATTAAGGAGATAGATGATCATCGAAATAAGAGGAACCGAACGAAACCGAAACCAACTAAATACCCGAACAGATAAAAATTCTAAACCTAAAAGAAACGGAATCAAATCGGACCCGGACTAAATATGTCGTATACCCGAAATATATTTATATATGATATATCCACAAATATAAGTTAATTTTAGACCAAATACCAAAAATATCCGAATATTAGAAAGTTACCGGAATAACTGAACTGAAACCGAATGTATCCGAACGGATGTATCCGGAAAATACCGGAAATACTCAAAATACCGAAAATATTTTGGTTAGTCGGGTATGTGAGAACTGGAACTGAAAAATATATTCAGACACTTTAGAACCAGAGCCGAAATATACCCGATATATTTCGGTTCCTAATCAGTTCTTGATTCAACTACGTAAACCAAATGGAACACGAACCAGAACCAAACAGATTTTGCTTCGGTTAGTATATGGATCTTGAAAATAAGAACTAAATCCGAATGGTTTCGAATCGAGATCGAACCGAATCCAAACTCCTAGGACTAATTTTGATTCTAATCATAATTTTTTAACGATTCCATCACTGTATTGTAGTTGTGTATTTTAATTCTTATTGTTCTTTACTAGGTGGATACCCACACTATGCCTGAGTTGTTGTTTTAAAAATTATTAAAAACAATTATACTGCTATTTGTTGCTAATTTATGTAGTTATAATTTTTATGGTTAGATTCATTTTTGACTCGAAATATCAAGTATACATTTTACATATATTAATCTAATTATCTATATACCTAAGATTCTATTTTTTTCACTATCATAATGCATACAACAACAATATATGATATATTGATACAATGGTATGTAATTATATTACTTGTATAGTTTGAAACTTGTCTAACTTGATTAAAAACAAACAATTCCTTGTTCTATGTACTTTCTTGTGATCTATTACTCCAACCACACACATCATAATAGGCTCATAATTAAATACTGAATTGACATAATTTGAACAACATATGTATAATTAACTATTCATTTTCTTCATGAGTTTTCATATGAAAATTAAAAAAAAAAAAAAAAGCAAGAGATTTAAGAGTCATTTAAGTCAACAGTTTTAGATCTCTCCTTTTATTTGCATATATATGAGAGAATTGTCGTGTCTTAAATTCTTTGGTATGTGATATGTCTAGCGTCTCAAAGGTCCATTACTTGAAAAAACTTGCATGTTATTGTCAATGTTACCAACTTACCAAAAGACACAAAAATGATAAGAAAGGAATATGATCGTATGTGAACCACAAAACATAATAATTAGAAAAGATTCAACGTAAAATACTAAACTAAGAAAAGGTTAGGTAGCAAACAATTAAACTGTAAATTTTGTCATTATCCAGTAATGACCATTGATAAAAAATAAAATTAGTAAAATAAAAAAAGTATAATAAAAATATTACTTGATACATTAGCATGATTTTTTTTTTACTTTTTAGTTTTATTTTGAAGAAACAATTAAGAGTGGTATTGATGGAGAATTTAATACAATTGAGGACTTTTGAATTTTCTTCACTTAATGTTATTAAATTTTTATTTAATT